TTTATGTATATGTTTTGGTGATATAATAAATAATTTGTCATACCCTCGAACCGTTTGCTAGGGTGGCCAGTAGTTCACCGTCAGGTGTATTGCAATTGATATTAAAGTATTTTGTGTAATCATCACTTTCTTTGGCTTTTGGATCAAGTGGTCCAATTGGCAATGTGCTAAGTTTCATATGATGTACCTTGATCAAAATATACAGCGCTAATTAATTGCATTACCATCTTATGGAATTGTTTCTATGGGCATTTAGTTAAACAAATATTTATTGCCAATTGAATTAAAATAAATGTATCACTGACCATGATAAGAACTTAATCTACTATATAATCTATTTAAATTAAACACTATAAATACTAACACTTTCAGTTTGATTATTTAATACAATTGACTCGTATTTAATCACATGGTGTTTGTGTTTGAATTCTGGAGGCAATAAATGGGCCGAACAGAGCTGGGACTCCATCGACACCGGGAGTAGAGCTTTGATTAAAAAGTCATAGTATTTGGCAGTTGTCATGTCATATGGTGTATGGGTTGGCACGTATGGGTCTAGTAGTCGCACCGCTCGGTAGCCGTGTTGCTGGACATTCATGTCAATCACATCGGGAGTGGTGGGCGCGCCCGTCGCCCACACTATGCTTACAGTGCCCTCCTATCAAGGTTGTTTGTTTTTAATGTGGTTTATTTATTAATTATTAAAGTTACATATAGTTAAAATATTTTACCTCGATTATGTAGTCCGTTGGGTCGCATGTATTGACCGCACGTTTAAACGCAAAATCCAAACCATTTGATAGTTTTGTGGCGTTTATGAGATGACAGTCATTACTTGTGTCCACTACAGCGATGTTATCATTGCCCACATGTATGTCCTCAACAACACATACAATGATTTTATATTATTTATTATAATTACAAAATTATATAAATGTTAAGTTTTACTTGCATTTTGAGATGAGATGTGGTGTCCGTCCATATGATACACATATCGGAGCCGCCAATGAGTCCGTCGGGAGAGAAACCGACGGCAAACCAGTCGTCGTTTGTGTCACTCATTGTCTGCACTCTAATAGTGACCCACTTTTGGTCATAAGTCCAGAACATGTGATACTTGTGCTGATCATCGAGTGATTCACTAAACGTGTAGTTATTGTTAACGTTTCCGTAATTATTATCCGATAAGATATCAATTGTATTGAGATTTATAGTTACTAATAATAAAACAAAATATATTGTTTTATTCATTGTTTAATTTATTAATATTTACAAAATTATTAATCTAAATATATATTTTTTATTTAATTGTTTAGATAATTGCATATAAAATATTTTATATATATTATAATAATTATATTAAATATAACTCATCATACATCTATCTATAATTATCAATGTTATTTATTAAAAACAAATTAATAATGTAAAACAGTTGCAATTTATAAACTCAACGAATGTTAAACAGTTAAACATATAAAATATTTATTTTGTATGACACAAAATATGGTTATTTTGTTGTTGTCAATCATGATAAATTATAGTAAAAGTATTTTAAATTACTATTTAATTTACCTTGTATGATATTTTGGGTTGAAAATTTACAAATTGCTATAGATATAAATTTACTAATAGTGTAAATATTTTTTACTGGCTCAATTTTGTATGATATCAACTTAATATGTACACTGTATTTTTTTACATGAATGAACAACTAATAATCACACAAAAAAAGGATGATACGACCAATAATTAAGCCTAGCTGTAGGATTACTAGTTGCAAATTCATGCTTAATTTTAAATGCATGTATATGCTTGAATATACACATAGGTGATAAATAAATGTGAAAAAAAGTTTGAAAAAAGTGACGAGGCGGTGATCGAACCCAGGGCCTTTAGAATTAGAACCCAACGCTCTACCAACTGAGCTATGCAGACAATGTTGAATTTGTATGACTTAATAGTGCTCTTTATAGATAACTATTAATTTCAACATGCATGACTGTTTTCAAACATGACATATAGTAAAATATGTTTCCCTATTAAACTAATGAATTGTATTGTGTCATTGTGTATGATTTTGAGATGTGATTTTGTGACTAAATTATTTTCTGCATCTCCGATTTGGGACAAAATTACGTCCACAAAATGACATGTGTAACTTTTTAAGCCCTTAACATTTCAGTGCATTTGCAAAACCATAACAAAAACACTAGCGCCGCCACATATCGGTTACCCATTTCTCACACTATTTCACGACTTCCCTGTATGGACTTGATTTGACATCATTTCAGTTGTTGCGAGATTCAATGGATAGATAGCGCGCGCGTCGAGACTTACACCAATTATATGGGTGACGGAAATCGTCCCAATTATTAACACAGCATATGCTATGGATTAGTGCTTTGTGTAGAATGTATGAGTGGAGTGTATGTGTTTGCATAGGGCATGCGTTGTAAATGATTTGTTTTGTTGTTATCATTGTATGCTTAGATAAAATTGTCCATAAATTATGTTATATATAATATTGACCCCATATTCCTATTTAAATACGAATATGGGATTATGGTTAACGTTATTTACATTTAAATATACACTTCAAACAACTAAACACATGTAAACAACAATTTAATATTAGTGTACTTTTAAATGTGATTAAAAATAAGCCGCAAAACTGTGTTAAGTCGACAACAACTCGCAGACATGCTGAATGTCGACAGCGCTGATGACAATACAAGCGATAAAGAAGTTGATGACATACAAGAGTCGTCACATTCATCAGAAATACCAATTGAAATGAAGACAACTCGTGGAGGAAAAGTAATAAGTTTAATTTTATCATTAATATTTAATTAATTTTTATATTCATTGTAGATGAATACATATTTATCTAAAATTTGTGGCGATAAATTGATTGAAAATGTGTTCAATGTTTCAAGTGATGAAGTGGACGAAATGCCATCAGTTTCTCAGCAACCAATCAAACTTCACAAAAATAATACACGGTGTGATTTGTGTCCGCGAAGTGACAATAAAAGAGCATCAATTCGGTGTGAAGGTTGTCAACGGCTTTTATGCAAATCACATGTTGTTTACTATTGTCCTGAATGCAAGCGAGAAAACTATAATGACAATGAATAGAATATTGATTTTTGTATTTCTTATATTTGGCTCAATATTAATAGTTATGCAATTAATTGTTTGTCTGAATATTAAATAAATAATAACTGAATTTAATGTAACTTATATTACTTTGTAACTTAAATAAACTATAATTTTAATCACTACAAGAGATAGTTTGCTTATTATATAATTGTAAAGTATTTGGTTTTTATATTGGTTTTAATAATTAGTAACTTTGCCTTTGTAATGTGTCAATAAATGGCGTTTAGATATAACCCCATATTCCTATTTAAATAGGAATATGGGGTCAAGATTATAGACCACATAATTTAAGGGCATACAATGATAATTTTCTCTAAGCATACAATGATAACAAAACAAACCATTTACAACGCATGCCCTATGCAAACACATACACTCCACTCATACACTCCACACATAGCACTAATGCATAACATATACTGTGTTAATAATTTGGACGATTTCCGTCATTCATATCATTGGTGTAACTTTTAGTCATATAGCATAGCTTTCTCGCTTATGCTGCCATCTCACTCACGTAAATTAAATGTATTAAATTACTGGACGATATATGAGCCACGATATAATCGCCGTGGGCAATTTAGCCATATAATCAGACGGTTAAAAGTGCACAAAATTTTAAATAATTCACACCATGTTATGTAGTGATACCCATGTTGCCAACGATAATGTGTGTCACATTTATACATTATTACCCTGCTGCTAATATATTGAACGTAATGCAAAAGACGGACCGTTACCTAAATTATTTGGCCCAACATTTGCATTATACCGATCAGGAGTTGTTAGATAACAGGCCACCAATTGATGAGATGTGTATTCAAAGGTCTGGCCAATCTTTCCCGGTTTGTTTTTTCATCATGTTAAATATAAAACATACATGTCGGTGCATTATTTTATATTTTATAAAGAAAATAAACAATTTTTACTAGGGTAATTGGAGTAATCAGCCAGTGCCACGTGTGATGGTTCCGTTGAAACACACGTATAATGTTTGCACAAATATACTACGGTAAAAAATTTTAATTAATAATTAAATTAAATTAACTTTGTAACTAATTAGAACTTAAATGTTGTAAAATACTAAAACTAAAATTACTAGATGTAATAATTAATACAATGTAAATGTTGTAAAATTTTGTACAGTAATTGCAAAGTAAATTATAAATGATATTATTTTATGGTCTAAGTTAGGTTAATCTAGATTAATCAGATTATATCCAAAGTAGACAACATGCAGACAGTGTGCAATTTTAGTTTTACTAAAACCTCTCTCTCTCTCTCTCTCTCTCTCTCTCCAAACACACAAAATACAAACACAATGTATTAATATTTTTATTGCATTAAAATCTATGGCTAAATAAATAATTGTATTTAAAACTTATTGTTTGTTAAATAAAAACAAACTTATATTTAAATGTCTAAACATTTTCAGACAATATGTTGAACACATGAGAGCACAGCATAACAGAGATGTCACACAAAAAGCAACTTTTTTAGACAACAGATGCACTCAAAAATAAGTGTCGCATAACTTGTTTTTCAGTGTAAAACAAGCAGTAAAATAGTTATTTATCATGAAATATCATTTTGTAATTAACTGTAATATAAAAAACTAGTGTTAATGTTATAATTATTTTTCCTGATATTTAAATAATCGTCAATTTTAATTTATAATAAATAACTTTTAATTAAATATTAATATTTATAATTATGATAACAGTTATAAAACTCGCAATTTTTATAATACTTTTACTGAAATTATGTTCATTTAGTGTTGAATCGGAAACTATTGGTCCGATTGTTAACAATAACTACACGTTTAGTGAATCACTCGATGATCAGCACAAGTATCACATGTTCTGGACTTATGACCAAAAGTGGGTCACTATTAGAGTGCAGACAATGAGTGACACAAACGACGACTGGTTTGCCGTCGGTTTCTCTCCCGACGGACTCATTGCACAAGTATCACATGTTCTGGACTTATGACCAAAAGTGGGTCACTATTAGAGTGCAGACAATGAGTGACACAAACGACGACTGGTTTGCCGTCGGTTTCTCTCCCGACGGACTCATCGGCGGCTCCGATATGTGTATCCTTTGGACCGACACTACATCTCATTATAAACTACAGGTAAAACACATGTATTTTAATTAGTTTTACATTTTAAATAATAATAATTATTATATGTAATAATAAGGACATACATGTGGACAGCGATGGCATCGGTTTAGTGGACACCAGTAACGACTGTCATCTCATAAACGCCACAAAACTATCCAATGGTTTGAGTTTTGCGTTTAAACGCGCGTTCAATACATGCGATCCAATAGACTATACAATTGAGGTAAAGTCATTAAATCCAATATTTACCCACATGTAAACTTAATTCTACATGGTGATATAATAGGAGGGTACCACAAACATGGTGTGGTCGACGGGCAGTGGTCTACTTATAGATCGGATTGATTTTAAAGCGAATAAATACGGTTTTAGACCAATTAGACTGATGGACATCCCGGAGCGCATATCGCCAGACCTGACAAAAGCTAAAACCTATGATTTTCTTAATGATAATATACCGGTGCCTGTGCTGAACACCTCCTGGCAGTGCACTGTTCATCGGTTGCCCTTGGTATTTTACAGAAAACACCATATTGTTAAGTATGAGCCCATTATTGAGGCGACTAATTATGAATTGGTAAGTTTTTGTTAGTTTACTTTTAATTTTAATAAACATCTAGATTATATTTTTCTACTCTCTATAACTGATTTTGTTATCATATTTTACTTAATTAAATGCAAATATTTAATTCATAGGTACATCACATGAAACTAATCATGTTAAAAGATGCCCACTTTGATAACCAAACATATCTGGCGGTTGATTGCGATGACCAGCGTTTGCAATACATGGATCAGATAAGCGCGTGGGCTAACGGATCAAAAGTATAATGTTTATGTTTATTTAAACTAGGCTAAAATCACAATTAATTCAGCATAGGTTACATTAATTAAAATTAAAATTCCAGGCCTTCTCTTACACTGATGAGGCCGGAGTGCCGATTGGTGGGCAAAGTGGGCCCCAATATCTACTATTACAAACACATTACCACAATCTGGCGCTTACACGCGGCCTACGAGACAGCTCAGGTCTGCGTATCCACGTGGTCAGTCAACTACGGCAATATGACGCCGGGCTGCTTAAAATTGGTAATAAATCACCTTGCTTGTACTTTAAAAAATTAAAATTTAATTTACATTACGTTACCAATAAAGGAATGGACGATTTTGGTCAATTTGCTGCCCTCCCCGGCAACCGGTCGTCAGTAGACCTGTCCGTATACATGAGCGCCGAGTGCTCGACACAGGCGCTGCCCCCACACGGCATCACTGTATTCGCTCAGCAGTTTCATACACACCAACGCCGTACGCGTGTCCGCACCCAACACGTACGCCAGGGTCGGGAACTGAGCTTGGTCAATCGCGATGAACATTGCAACTTTGAATACCTGGATATTATGCATTTAAAACACACGGTAAATGTGCTGCCCGGCGATGCGCTCGTACACACCTGTAGTTATGATACAACCCGTGAGTGTAATGTTAATCCTATGGTATATTGTTATTGTATAGTATAAATAATTATTGTTAAATATGTGATGCATTTTTGTCGCATTTAAAAATTAATCATGCAACTTGTAGAAAAGCCAGTTGCGCCGGACATTATGTGTAGCACCTTTTTGCATTATTACCCGGCTGTAAATTTAAAATGGGTGATCAACGATATGCATACTTACATTGATTTTATGGCACACCATATGTCGTATAGTGAACAGGAATTGCACGATAATAGGCCACCGATGGCCGAGAGATGCGACCAATTGTCTG